CGACTGCTGGTAAGCAGGTAAAGGGAGGTGAGCGGGGGTCTGCTTAAAATTCTGAAACAGGGGGCACGCGGATTGCAAAGAATGGTGGAGGGACGAGAGGAAAACAAATCTACAGCTCTTCGTCTTGATTAAACCTATGAACATGCGAATTACCTAAACCCAAGAAATTCAAATTTTGAGGGATTCGGAGTTCTACAAGAAGTTGAGATAATGACTTCTAATTGCTGGAAATTAACATGTATATGAATTTGCGAATATCTCCTCGAAGATGGAACATACGAGGTTGGAAAGTCTGGAAGAACTTTCGGTGACACTGACTCTTCAGTTTTAGCTAAACAAACAAAAAAACAGGGTTCCTGGCTGCTTATTGGGAACGGAATCGACATGGCTATGTTATTTAGAATAAAACTTTATATTTTCGTCCTTTTCTCTCACATTGTTTTAAACTTAAAAAATGCTGTCAGCTGATTTTAACGCAACATTTCTTTTCAGGATTTTAAACTTTTTTTTAACAATTCTAAAAACATCGGTTCAAGTAAAGACAAACAACCTCATCAACGCCTGTCTTTCAAGTGTTGTGTTTACATAAAAGCATTATCTCAAGTATTAAGCTCACAAGGTACAGCAGGGTCCGCAGCTAGTAAGCTGGAATTATTATTCCACCCTGGTCGGTCTTGTGTGGATACCCACTCGCCTTAGTAACATCAGATTCTGATGGATAATAACCAGTCAGCACTGGAGAAAGACGTGAGGCACATGAGTATAATGTGTTAGTGTGGAGGTGTGAGGGCAAATGGTTCGTGTGTGTGTTTGAGAACACCTTCAATTGCAACATGGAAGGGGAAAAAAATCATCACCGGCAACTGTAGTCACATTACAGCAGCACTGCCCCCCCACCCAAAACAAATCCCAAAACCCCCATTTGAGGGAGAGAAAATGCAGCAGTGCAACAACACTGAAGCAGGGAAGGGAGGAGGAGAGGAGGAGGAGGAGTGAGGAGGAGGATGAGTGGATCACGGTGGTCCCAAGGATTTTAAGGAAATTGCGTCCACTATCTACGGGGGGAACGCGTTTTCGGCGCGGCACTACCGACCGCTGCCTGCCGTTCCAGGAGGGAACTTAGTCTGCGGGAGGGGCTGTCAAGGAGCATGCAGGGGAACACACAAGATACCAGCCAGTACAGTTGCTGAACCAGCCCCAGCCTGTCTTCTGGGAAGAGAGGGATGAGGGAGAGGAGGGAGGGAGAGAGAGAGAGAGAGAGAAGACGAGAGAGGGAGAGAGGGAGGGAATAAGTGGACAAGAGTGAATAGATAGAGAGCAAGGGACAGACAGGTGACGCACGTCGAGCAAACGTGGAGAGAAGAAGAGAGGGGGGTGGGGTGGGGGGGTGTGTGTGTGGGGTGGGAGATGAGAAGACAGAAGAGAGAGATGGAGAGAGTGAAACAGACAAGACAGGTCCGAGAGGGATTTGTTCTATTTGCATGCGCCGGGCTCCCATGGGGTCCAGCTCCGCTTGGCGAGCCCAGAGCACAAAAGATAACACTTAACATATTTGCTAAAAGATGACAACCCTGGCTGGATCTCGTTTGAAGAGGCCTTTTGTCAGGACGTGCAGACAGGAGAAATCCACTGATATGGATGCAGCCGAGACTAACAAACGTCTCTTTGAGTGTGTGTGTGTGTGTGTGTGTGTCTAAAACAGCACAATATTTCCCCACATCGTCCTTACATCTGGCAGAAGTCCCACAGGGGCCGAGCTAGATCGCACACCGGTGGCTCCGGGACGGTAAAACAGATTTTAATGGTAAACATTACAGACTGATAGAAAGTGTCAGGATAATTTATTTATACGGTCCCACTGGGAGTAGCTTAGCCACCCTCACAGCACACCGGCTCTCGCTATTCATTTGAGGGAAAAGTCGCTATTTGGATAAATAAAGGCAAGAGTAAAGGGGTTGCCTGTTTGTAAAGCAGTTTTTCTTCTATTCCTATTATCTCCCCTCTCTCTGTCCCTATTAGCTGTATCGGGGGCTGCCGGGAGAGATGTGAGGCGATATGTTATGTGTATAATGAGGGGGATTATTGCTACTGTCACTGCAACACGCTCAGACAGCGGATGCAGAGGGATGGATCTTAAGCCGGGGACTGTAGCAAACAAATAGACTTAGAGGAATAAACAAACCGCTGAGTATCTACGTTATTTACATTACACACAGAACCGACTCATGCGTGGCTGCGCCCGGGCTTCCTCGACTCTTACACACACACACACACATACACAAACTCCTGCACCCCATCACTCCCCGTGTTTGTGCAGAATTCTCTTATTTAACCAAAAAACAGCACCTCGTTACCTGTCCTCCAGTGAAATTATACATCCACAGGTCTGAATCAGAAGTCAATTATTAACAAAATGTGGGATTTTATGCATCACTTGTGTGCAGTTTAAATAAGTGCATACCTGTGTGTCTGTAATATGTCATTTTAGATCATTTCAGGCAGCTGAGGTTTCAAGAGGAAGCACTATTTTCCGGACAGTTAAAGTTGGACAATATGGACACTCACGCGCGCCTATAAATACAAAAAAAACATTTACAAGGTAGTAAATGCTGCATGTGTGAAGCCGACACACACGCAAACAAGGAGCGCATCAGCAGGGGAAAAAAAGGAGGAAACAGCACATGACGTGACGCATATAAGTCTGTGTGTTTGTGTGTGAGAGCCCAGAGAGAGAGAGAGATCAAAGGTGAAAGGTCGAGTCCTCACTAATAACTGCAACAAAAACCAAGAATGTGCAATCGTGGAAGTTCGCCCTGCGCGTGCACAGAACGCACGTTGTGGTTTTCCGACGTGATTATTCATTAGAAAAGTATCCGCTCTGGCTTGCAACAGGGGTGGGATTGGTTATTTTGGATTTCAACAATCCACCATTGTTCTGCGTGAATGTGGAACACGTTTCCTGCAACCGGTAGAAAACAGCTTCACAGAAAGATGTTTCTTTCTTTTTTTTTAAATACCTAAAAATTTGAATAGACCCAGGTGGAGTGTATTTGTGCAGCAAGTTGTGATTCCAGCCATTAGGGCTGTTTATTAACACTGTTTCCTGTTGCACAATTCCCTCACAGCCTAATGTTAATAATTATCAGTGAATTGGAATAAAGTATGAAATAGGAAATAAAGTGTAGCTGATAAATTAAATCCTGGTTGTAAATATGCATTTTGAGTTTGCAGTGGCTGAGGCCTTGCTCACTGAGACTCACAATCACATGCAACTACCTCCAAACGCCACTCGTTCCCGTTAAACGACGAGTGAATTTGTGTATTCTTATACAATAAATATTCTGCACATAGTTGCGTGAGTGTGTATGTGAGACAAATGAGCAAAAACAATCAGATCTCTCGTATTAATCTGCAGGTTTGAGTATTTAAAAAGTTTAAGAACAATATTTGAGAGCAGATTTGAATATCTTTTAAAAAAATAAAATCTCATTCGGGGCTGCAAATGTGTAATTTAAACATAGCCCACTTGTTTTATTTATTACAAGGTAATGTGTGTGTGTTATGTGTGCGAACATAAAGATGCAAAATGAAGCTAAAACATGCCAGCTACAATTCTGGAGATTTATCCCATGAAAAACAAATTAATACACAATTTTAATTCAAGCCGAAGGCGTGAATATACACACAATATGGTTTCAGTATAAATCCTAACCTTTTTTTTTTTTTTAAAGGTTTAAGGCTCTGTGTGGGCATGTTTCCCTCACACCTTCACCACCTCCTGAAACTCCTCTGTGTATTTTTACACCTTCTGTGGGGGAAAAAAGTGCACAAGTTGATGAAAAAATCGACCTACCATAGACGCTGCTGCTGCTGATCATCTCGTGCTGGAGCAGGGAGAGGAAGAGGAGACGAGGAATTAATTTGTGGACAGAGAGAGAGAGAGAGAAAGAGAGAAAGGGGGAGATAAAAAAAAAAGCGGAAGGATTCCCCAAAAAAGGAAAAGAAGCTTTACATTACACACTTTTTTTTCTTTTTCTTTTTTAAATATATATCTTTGTCTGGTCCAGCGCTGCTCGGATTTCAAGCCGTGGTGAAAGGTGGGCCCTTGGAGTCTGGGAGCGAGCAACTCAATAGGAGAAGCATCTAACCTACATGCATCTCATTAGAAAGTGGAGCCCGGAGGATGACAGGCAGCAAATCAACTGGTGCAGCCCGGCCGACTGTTGTTTGCAAAAAGAAAAATGATCGCCGAGGCAAGTTAAATCTCTTGATAACGCCCTAAAATGTCCCAGCATTTAAAAAATACATGCTGCGGTGACATTGTATCCGCTCTCTAGCACGCGTGCATAGGGCAACTTGTTGTAACCGTATCGCCGCAAGAGAGAGAGAGAGAGGGATTGAGAGAGAGAGGGAGAGAGAGAGAGCCTGGAAAAAGCCTCCGTGTGCGTGCAAAGTGTGTATTTTTTTTATCTCCTCCTATTTAGAGAAGCGGTGCAGCACAGCCCTACACACACACACACACGCAC